CTTGAACTCGGTGAGAATTGAACTCGCAGTAATTGCAGGCAGCTGGATGTTAAATGCTGCCTTAGTAGGAGGCATTAGCCTCCTACGCCACTCAGTCTTCCCATGGAGTGAACCCAGTGTTTTAGTTCTGCAGCTGTTATCATGTGAAACCAAGATGGAATGATGGCTTCTATTAACTGGGTTTTATTGCCGGGTCGCTTCTGACTAGCAAGTTTCTTTAGTCGGCTCCATAGATTTTCTTTTTCTTTCTTTCTTTCTTTTTTTTAAATATTTTATTAGTTTTAAAAGTAAAACAATGGACATTGCTCAACGTCTCTGGTTTTTAACATTTGCGTCTAAATCAAGTTAATAAGTAATCTATTCCTTGATCTAGATACAAATTTACATATCTCCTATTTCATTATATATCAAGTATGCAGTATTTTACTTCCTAAACAACTATGCGTGTATTTAATAAACCTATATTACATTCACAAATTCAATATACATTGATATATTGATATATATTGATACATACATTTCCAGATATTCGTTATCCCTTGTTTTTGGCATTCTTTCTCTTATCTAGAAGAGCCTTGGTAGTACAGTGGTCTAAAGCACCCTGTTATTAAGACCAGCTGCCTGCAATTACTGCAGGTTCAAATCTCGCCAGGCTCAAGGTTGACTCAGCCTTCCATCCTTTCTAAGGTAGGTAAATTGAGGACCCAGTTTGTGGGGGCAATAAGCTGACTTTGTATAAATATACAAAAGTATGAAGGCTATTGCTTAACGCATTGTAAGCCACCCTGAGTCTCCGGAGAAGGGCGGCATATAAATCAAATTAAAAAATAAATAAATCTAACCAATTATAAAATTTATTCCAGATTTCATAGTATGTTGATTCACTTTTGTCTTTGAGTTCTAAAGTAAGTCTGTCCATCTCTGCGCAGCTGTAAATTTTGTGTATTACTTCTTCTGAAGGTATTTCTTTACACTTCCATTTTTGAGCAAATGCTATTCTTGCCGTGGTAAGTATATGCAGTATTAAGGCTCCATAGATTTTCAATGGGGTTAAGGTGTGGGCTCTTCCCAGGCCATTCCAGCAGTGGAATAGGATTATCTTGAAACTCCATTAAAAAAAAAAAGTGGTGTTATTAGCCATCAAACCTCAAAAATACAACTTTTCCCAAAAGGTTTCCACAATTTTGGCCACTACTGTAAACACGAATGAATGAATGTGTCAGGTTTCGAGGTCATCTCAAATAAATTGCATTTCAAACAAAGTCTTTGAAGAAAAACTCCCGTTTATTAAGCACGACATTCTAACTCCGACTCATCTCAGCCAACACTGACTTCCACTGACCCAAAACCCTCCCTTTCCGTTCCCCACTCCCCTGCACTCATTGGCCATCTTCCAAGTCACTCTACCCCTAATCTACTGCTCCAGTTCAAAGGAATTTCCCCCCTCCCATCCCATCTCCTAGGGGATATTATCTCCAGGGAAAAGAAGTAGGTGAAAAGTCAAACGTCCCTTTCCAGACGCCTCCGCTTCTCCTTCTTATGTCAGCACTAGAGTAACTGCAGCTTGAAGTGCTGACAGAATGAATGAATGAATAAATAAATAAATAAATACAAAATTATGCATATACCCACATCTATTATATGATTCTTTTTTGGGTGGTCTCTTTTGAATGGTATTTTCTCCCCGTCTATCTATTGATAAATGAAACATCTGGAAGCCAAGAAGGAAACTCAGAAAGGAGCAAGCTTTTCCCAGTTCAATCCACAGCTGCAAATAAATATTATATTACTGAAGTGACATGATAAGGTGACCTGATGGCCGTCTTCCAATATTTGAGGGGCTGCCACAGAAAAGAGGACAAGAAGAAACTCATCCTGGAGAGAAGCAACCTGGAACTAAGGAGGAATTTCCCTGACAGCGAAAATGAGATCTTCTGACCAGCAAATTCAATTAACAACCGGGTTAGTAATATATCAACTGCAGTGTTTCACTTCACAACTGTGGCAAGAAAAGTCATCAAATGGGGCAAAACTCACTTAACGAAGGTCTCACTTAACAACAGATGATTGGGGCTCAATTGTGGTCATAGGTCGAGGATTACTGGATTTATTAAATGTATATGCCACCTGATCTGCAGAGCCAAAGATGATATGGGGAGGTGCTGTCTATTCAGATCGGGAAGGGAAACTATGATGACTTGTGGACTTCAGTTCCCAGAATTCCTAAACCAGCCATATTCAGGAATTCTGGGAGTTGAAGTCCACCGGTCATAAAGGGGCCATACGGTAGTTTGCGATATACAATCTTTCGTTTAGTGACCATTTGAAGTTACAGCAGAACTGAAAAAAGCGAACTATGGCCATTCTTCACACTTATGACCATTGCTGTGGTCATAAGTTACATGATCAAAATTCAGACGCTTGGCAACTGACTCATATTTATGATGGTTGCAGCGTCCTGGGGTCACGTGATAGTCTTTGGCGACTTTCTGACAAGTAGAGTCAATGGGGGGAGCCAGATTCGCATAACGACTGCATTACTAACTTAACAACCGCAGCGATTCGCTTAACGAATAGGGCAGGAAAGTTCGTACAACGGGGGTAAATCTCACTGAACAAGTGTCTTGCTTAGCGACAGATGTTTGGGGCTCAGTTATGGTCGTAAATTGAGGACTACCTGGAGTTGCTGAGCTCCAGGGCTCATTATGGTCGTAAATTGAGGACTACCTGGAGTTGCCCAGCTCCAGTACAGATGCTTTTTTAAAAAATCATTGTGGATTTTTCTCGGTGTGGCTATAAATTTTCTTTTTGATTGCTTTTTGTCCAGGTTAGGCTTCGGTTTGGCTGCAACACACACACAATCTTTAATCCCTTAAAAACAAAATATCCACCCAACAAGTAACATTCAAACAAATGGCCGAAATCCGCGTTGGGCATCTCTCAATCCACCATCTGCCCAATCAGGTTTAATCCTGGCAGGAACGCGGTTCCCGATCCCCAAACACAGACTGGTATTTGGATTTTAAAAACAACGTGGGGAGACGGTTACGGGCTGCGATCTCGGTGGCGGGAAACCCTCCTGGAAATCTAACCGGGGGTGGGGAATTACAGGAATGCAGCCCCCCCTTTTTTTCCCCCCTCCCCAATAGATACATTGTGGCGGGTGGTCCGAGGAAGTTTGTATCTTAAAGCAAACGTTCCCTGCTCTTTCCGCGTGGAGGGGCCACTTTGAGTGAGGGGGCCATGAAGACCCTTGGGCGGGAGGGGAACCCATCTCCCGCAGTCTCGGGGATCGCGGTTGAATAGCCGGCGGCATGGAACGCTCAGGGTCTCAGCGTTCGGCTGCATGGAACGTTCAGAGCTCCAGCGTTCCACGGGATAGAACGTTCGGAACTCCCGCGTTCGGCCGGATGGAACGCTCAGGGTCTCAGCGTTCGGCTGCATGGAACGTTGAGAGTTCTAGCGTTCGACGACCTGATGGAACGCTCAAAGGCTTCTTCTCCAACGCTTGTATGGAACGTTCAGAAGTCTGGCGTTTCGACCGGCTGGAACGCTCGCCTCTCCAACGTTCCACTATAGAACGTTGACTTCCCATAGCCGTTCCGATAGAACTTTCACTGCTGGCGGCGCAGACCGCGTTCTAGTCGAACCACGCCCCCCCCACTCCACTCCACTCCACTCCAGAACCGGGCCGTTGCTTGCAGCGAATCCTGCGTGGAGTGGGAAGAGAAGTGGGGGACGGGGGGGGTCTCGGGGAAGGGGAAAGCAAGGGGGGGGGGGGGGAGAGAGAGAGAGAGAGAGAAAGAGGGAGAGAGGGAAAGAGAAAAAGGAAAGAAAGAGGGAGGGAAGGAGGGAGAAAAAGGAAAGAAAGGAAGAGAGAGGGAGGGAGAGAGAGAAAAGGGAAAGAAAGAAAGAGGGAGGGAGGGAGGGAGAGAAAGAAAAGAAGGGAGGGAGAGAGAGAGAAAGGAAAAAAGAGGGAGGGAGAAAAAGGAAAAAGAGGGAGGGACAGAGAGAAAGAAAGAGGGAGGGAGAAAGAATGGAAAGAATGTGGGAGGGAGGGAGAGAGAGAAAGGAAAGAAAGGGAGGAAGGGAGGGAGAGAGAGAAAGGAAAGAAAGAGGGAGGGAGGGAGAAAAAGGAAAGAAAGAAAGGGAGGGAGGGAGAGAGAAAAGGGAAAGAAAGAAAGGGAGGGAGAGAAAGAAAAGGAGGGAGGGGAGGGAGGGAGAGAGAGAGAAAGGAAAGAAAAAGAGAGAGAGAAAGGAAAGAAAGAGGGAGGGAGGGAAAGAAAGAGGAAGGAAGGGAGGGAGGGAGAAAGGAAAGAAAGAAGGAGGGAGAGGAAGGAAAAAAAGAGGGAGGGGGAGAGAGAGTGAGAAAAAGAGAGGGAGGGAGAAAAAGGAAAGAAAGGAAGGAAGAGGGAGGGAGGGAGGGAGAAAAAGGAAAAAGAAAGAGAGGGAGAAAGAGAGAAAGAAAGAGGGAGGGAGAAAGAAAGAAAAGAAAGAATGTGGGAGGGAGGGAGAGAAAGAAAAGAAAGAAAGAGGGAGGGAGAGGGAGAGAGGAAGCGCCCCGGTCGCCTTCGAGCCCCCCACGCCCTTCCCTTCCGACCGCCGTCTCTCTCGGCCGACGGTCGCAGCAGCAGCAGCAGCAGCAGCGGCGGCGGCGGCAGCTCCTCCCTCCCCTCCGCCTTCTCCTCCACTGCCCGGCCTGCTGTTGACAAACAGCCGGCCAGGGCGGGTCTGGGCGGGCGTCGGGCCGCGGGGAGTGCGTGCCTGCCTCTCTCTTGCCCCGCCGGGGGAGGGCGGGGAGCGCCGAGCGAGAGGCTCCGGGAGCTCCTGGAGGCCGGGCGGAGCAGAGCAAAGCCGGCGGCCCGTTGGGATGTGGCAGACTCTGGCCCTGGGCTTGGTCTTCTTCCCGGCTCTCTTCGCCGCTTGCATCCGCAGCCTGCGCTGGCTGGCGCCGGCATGGAGCCTCAAAGATCGGATCCTTCTCAGCGGCAGGTACCGGCTGGCACCGGGCGGGGGAGGAAGCCGGGCAGCATCCCCGGAGGAAGGCGGCGGGAGACCCCCCCTCCTTCCTCCCCCGATCCCCGGATCTGCTCAGGAAGCCGTGCAAAAATAGCCAGCGGGGGCGGCGGGCTCAGCCGAGAGAAGCTGCAGAGAGCGCTTTCGCGGGGATCGAACCTGTTGCTTGCGCAAGAAAAGCTGAGTTGCGGAAGGATTGGAGGGTGGGAAGGGGGCGAGGGGCTGGGGAAGAGCGGAGCCCCCCCCCCGTCCCGCTCCTTCCCGAGGGGTGGGATCTTGGGGGTGGGCTCTCTCTCTCCCCCCTCCCGCCCCGCAGATGGGGGGCGCCAGGTTGGGGAAGCTACTGCTCACCCCCCCCCCCCAAGCCCCGTTGTGCCAAGGACTGCAGGCTTCTGGCTTGGCATGGCCAAGATTTGGTCCTTCTGCAGAGATAGGGAGGAAGGGAGGGAGAGAGAGAGGGAAAGAAAGAAAAGGAGGGAGGGAGGGAGAGGGAGAAAGAGAAGGGAAGGAAGGAAGGAAGGAGAAGAAGGAAGAAAGAAGAAAGGAAGGAAGGAAGGAAGGAAGGAATGTAACAGTAACAGAGTTGGAAGGGACCTTGGAGGTCATCTAGTCCAACCTCCTGCTCAGGCAGGAGACCCCTACTAGGGATTCGAACCTCCGAACTGCCAACCTTTCTGATCGACAATCTCGGTGTCTTAGCCACTGAACCACCTAGTGAGGCAAGAGAGAAGGAAGGAAAGAAAGGAAAGAAAGAGAGAGAGAGAGAGAGAGAGAGAGAAAGAGAGAGGGAGACAGAAAAAGAAGGAAAGAAAGAAAGGAAAGAAAGAGGAAACAGAAAAGAAAGAAAAGAAAGAAAGAAGGAAGAAAGAGAAAGAAAGAAAAAGAAAGAAAGAAAGAAAGAAAGAAAGAAAGAAAGAAAGAAAGAAACCGGGTTGAGTTAAGCAAGGATGAAATCTGCTCGGTGTCTTAGCCACTGAACCACCTAGTGAGGCAAGAGAGAAGGAAAGGAAAGAAAGAGAGAGAGAGAGAAAGAAAGAGAGAGGGAGACAGAGAAAGAAAAAGAAGGAAAGAAAGAAAGGAAAAAAAGAGAGGAAAGAGAAAAGAAAGAAAAGAAACAAGGAAGAAAGAGAGAGAGAGAGAGAGAAAGAAAGAAAGAAAGAAAGAAAGAAAGAAAGAAAGAAAGAAAAGAAAAAAAAAACCGGGTTGAGTTAAACAAGGATGAAACCTGCTGTGTGAAGAAGATGCCAACCTTGGCATAAAAGTTCTCGACTTACGACTGCAAGGGAGTCCAAAGTTTCCATTGCTGAGAGAGACAGCGGTTAAGTGAGTTTTGCCCCGTGTTATGGCATTTCTTTGCCACGCTTGTTAAGGCAATCCCTGCACCGGTTAAGTAAGGAACGCAGAGGTTTGGCAAATCTGGGCTTTCCCGTTGACATTGCTTGTCGGAATGCCGCCAAAGGGAAGACCCCTGGGGCACTGCAACCGTCATAAATACGAGTCGGTCGCCGAGCGTCTGAATTTTGATCACGTGACCAAGGGGATGTTGCAACAGTCATTAAGTGTGAGCAAATGGTCGCCATTTTGGGTTTTTTAGTGCTGTTGTAACTTCAAACAGTCACTAAATGAACGGTTGTAAGTCGAGGACTACCTGTATGGCCCCTTTATGACCGGTGGATGTCAACTCCCAGAATTCCTGAGCGTGGCTGGCTCGGGAATTCTGGGAGTTGAAGTCCGCAAGTCGTAAAGTGTGAAAAATGGTCGTTAAGTCGTTTTTTTCGGTGCCGTGGTCATTTGAAACGGTCACTAACTGAATGGTTGCAAATTGAGGATGACCTATAATTCTCTGGGAGCCCCTTAGGACATTACAAATTCCTCCACAGTGTCCTGTTTTCCTTTCTGACCAGGAAATTGAGGAAGATGAGGTGATCTGGGTTCTAATCCGGATCAAAGGAGGAAGCATTAATTCAAAATTTACTCATGATTCAACTAGCAAACTTTACACGTAACAAATACCAGTAGTAAGCCTCACTTTTGCTTCGTGGTACAATTAGTGGCTCCATCCTGAAAATGGCATACACAAGCAATCCTCAATTTACAAAGATTCACTTAGTGACTGTTACCACAGCAGTGAGAACTTGACTTGTGACCGGTCCTTGCACTTACGACCCTCACAACATCCCTATGGTCTTGAATTTGGGCACTTAGCAACTGGCATGTAACAGGTAGTCCTCGTCTTATGACCACAATTGAGCCCAAGATTTCTGCTGCTAAGCGAGGCGTTTGTTAAGTGAGCTTTGCCCCATTTTACGACCTTTCTTGCCACTGTTGTTAAGTGAATCGCTGCAGTTGTTAAGTGAGTAACATGGTTGTTAAGTGAGTAACATGGTTGTTAAGTGAATCTGGCATCCCCGTTGGCTTTGCTTGTGAGAAAGTCGCCAAAAGGGGGTCATGTGACTTTGGGACACAGCAACGGTCGTAAGTATGAATCGGTTGCCAGGCGTCTGAATTTTGATCACGTGACCCATGCTGGGGATGCTGCAAAGGTTGTATCTGTGAAAAATGGTCATATTTTTCAGTGCCGTTGTAACTTTGAACCATCACTAAATGGACTGTTGTAAGTTGAGGACTACCTGTATTTATGACAGTTTCAGCATGAAGGATCATGTGATCGCCACAAGCAAGGTCAATGGGGGAAGCTGGATCCACTTAACAACCAGGTGATTCACTTAACAACCACAGGGACTGGCTCAACAACAGTGGCAAAAAAGGTTGTAACATCAGACGCAACTCACTTAAGAACAATTTTGCTTAGAAATGGGAATCCTAGTCCTAATTCTGGTTGTAAGTAGAGGACTACGTGTGATTACATTTTAGGGACAAAACATTAAATATTACAGGCGTTCCCAATTTACAACCATTCACTTAGTGACCATTCAAAACGACAATAGCACTTTTTCACACTTATGACCGTTGCGGCATCCTTGTGGACCCGTGATAAAAATTCACACACTTGACTAACCGATTCATACTTACGACGGTCGCAATATCTTGGGATCATTTGATTCTGTTTTGGGACCTTCTAACAAGCCAAGTCAATGGGGAAGACGGATTCACTGAACAACCCTGTTACTCACTTAACAACCACAATGCTTCGCTTAACAACGGTGGCAAGAAAGGTTGTAAACTGGAGCAAAGCTCACTTAACAAATGTCTCACTTAACAACAGAAATTTTGGGTTCAGTTGGGGCTGTAAGTCAAGGGTTACTTAATTTATGAGCCATGAGCCAAACTTCAAAGAAAATACAGTCATTTATTAGGAGCACCATTTCGGCAATATTCGGGTGCAGTTAGAACTAATCCCACGTAGATTTACGTTCCCCTATGACCCGGTCTCTCCCCTCCTGCCTGGCCATGTCATAAATCACATTCTCCAATTAACCACTTTGGCTGGCTATGAAACCCAACACCCTCCGACTGATTGTGGTAAGAAAGCATCTATGGAATGCAGCTTCAGTTAGGGAAATCGATCAGCTCCATCAGTTCTCCCTCCCTCCTGCTCATGGCAACTTGAAAGCTTTGCAAGTGAACAGTCGTATCTATGTCCAATGTTTTTAATTTTCAACTGCTAATAAAAAACTTTTTATAAAAAAAAAGAAACATCCCTAAATAGGACAGCATAGAGCCGCGATCTCCGCTACCGGTTTACCAGAACTGGGACGGACCGGCTGAATACCACCTCTGCTCTGCTTCCCAATCACCGGTTCACATCGTCCCATTTCAGCAAGTTTCTAGATCTCATTAGGTAGGAATTCCCTCTCCTTGTTTCCTTGGGCGTGATGACAGACGTGGATCGATGGCCGAAAAGACTGCCATTGTTATTACAACGGTAAGATGTGTGAATAAGATCGTTGCAAGTGGCGACAACTGAAATAACCTGTCTGAGGTCGGAAGTGAAGCAACCATCGATCTAATTAACACTTACTCATGGTTGCTTAACGTCAAAAGTTCAGTCACAGGACTGACTCAGTTTATGACCAACTTGCCCCACAGTGGGTATCCAATATTCTTACCACCGGTTTGCCGCGCACGCCATCGGTGCATGCATCCGGCCTCAAAAACGTGGCTAAATAGGGCGACATTACACCACCCACAGTCGCTGCTACCGGTTCTCACGAACCGGCCAGTGGTGAAATGTAAAATTTGTTACTCCAAGTTCTGTGGGCGTGGCTTGGTGGTGGTGGGGTAAAGTGACTGGGCGGGCGTGGCTAATTTTTTTTTTTTTTACTTTTAAAAGCATTTTTTCTACAACCTCTTCTGCCGAACAGGTTGTAGAAAAAAGTGCTTTTAAAAGCCTCTGACGATCCCAGCTGAGCCACGTGATCATCAGAGGCTTTTTTTTTTTTTACTTTTAAAAGCATTTTTTCTACAACCTCTTCTGCCGAACAGGTTGTAGAAAAAAATGCTTTTAAAAGCCTCTGACGATCCCAGCTGAGCCGCGCGATCGTCAGAGGCTTTTTTAAAAAAACTTTTAAAAGCATTTTTTTCGGCCGAAGAGGCTGTAGAAAAAAATGCTTTTAAAAGCCTCTGATGATCCCAGCTGAGCCGCGCGATCGTCAGAGGCTTTTTTTTTTACTTTTAAAAGCATTTTTTTCGTCCAAAGAGGTTGCAGAAAAAAATGCTATTAAACGTTTTTTAAAAAGCCTGTGATGATCGCGTGGCTCAGCTGGGCGGTGGGGGGCCCCAGGGATTTTTGCTACTGGTTCTCTGAACCACCCGCCGCCATCGCTACCGGATCGGGCGATCCGGTCTGAACTGGGAGTATTTCATCCCTGGAACCGACTGAATGCCACCTCTGGACTTGCCTTATGACCATTATGGCTGGGCTCCATTGCGATCTTAACTCATAGGATACCTGTATTCCGGTGTTGGCGCAAATGCTTGCCATTCGCCGGCGTCCAGTGTCATCCAGTTAGTCCTCGACTTATGACCGCAACGGAGCCCCAAATGTCTGCTGCTAAGCGAGACGGTGGTTAGGTGAGTTCTGCTCCTTTTTTACGACCTTCCTTGCCACAGTTGTTAAGCGAATCACGGCCGTCATTAAGTTAGGAACACCGTTGTTAAGCGAATCTGGCTTGACTTTGTTCGTCAGAAGGTCGCCAAAAAAGGGAAATCGCTGCAACCGTCCTAAGTACGTGCCAGTTGCCAAGTGTCCGAATTTCGATCGTGTTGCTGCAACGGTCGTAAGGGTGAAAAACGGTCATGGGCCCTTTTTTTTTTCCAGTGTTTCGAACGGTCACTAAATGAAAAGTTGTAAGTCAAGGACTACCTACTGAAAACGCTGCCCTAGGAATAGAAGACCCAAGTTCAAATCCTCCTCACTTTTTGACGTTTAATGCCTTGGGGGGGGGCAGTTGTTGTCTGTCAGCGCAACCTCGCAGGAACGTTGTAAGAGATATTCCGAGAAGAATACGCTGGGGGCCCGGATGTTTGCTCGTGGAAGTAAAGCTTTAGGGCCAAGGAATTTGAAACCCGTGGTATCTTTTTTGCCCTTGAGGTGAGGTGCGCCCTGGATTAATGCAAGGAAATAAGTTGTGTTGTTGTGCACCCACAGGGAGGGAGGCGCCCCTTGACAATTAGTGTGACAATCACTGGTGTCTACCTCCTCCCAAGAGAGAATGTGTCAACTTTAGTCTGTGACTAACCAGATCTAATTGAGTAACACCTAGATTGGGACAGACCAAACCGCCGAGAAGAATGAACAAGGAATTTCCCTCTCTTCAGATCTCTCACCTTGAAGTTATTGCTCCTCACTGAGATCTAGCTGCTTGACGCGTCGGGCTGTTTCTCCCAGCCGCAAATGAGCCATCCGCTTAAGAGAGGCTCGGAAGAACATTTGGGATAGAACGATGTCGCACATCGGGAAATGTACCCGATAGTCCTTGATTGACGACGATTCGTTTAGTGACTGTTTGAAGTTACAACGGCACTGAAAAAAGGGACTTGCGTTTCACACAACCATTGCAACATCCCCATGGTCATGTGATCAGAATTCAGGCGCTGGGCAAGGGGCACGGACTTATGACGGTTGCAATCTCCCGGGGTCATGTGATCAAGGGGGTGGTGATTCAGCTGGTTCGGATCGGTTCAGGCAAAGCGGTAAAGGCGACTCAGCCAGTTCGGACCGGTTCGGGCGAAGCGGTAGAGGCGACCTGCCCTGGCGCTATGCTGTTCTATTTAGCTATCCACGGAAGGCATCCATGCACATTTTTGATGCGCGGCGAACTGATGGTAAAACCCACTTCTGCATGCGATCATCTTTTGTG